AAGATGTGCAAAAAGTAGAGAGAAAAGGGAATCTTTGACTTTTTGGTATGGGTTGTTGGTTTTTTGGCTTTTTTAGTAACTTTTTGGCTTTTTGGCTAAACGGCTGGTTCCCAAACGAGGCCTGAGTTGTCTATGATTCAAAACATTGATTATGAAACCTGCCCATCCAAAAAACTATTACAAACACATACCTAAGTCCAAAGTATCAATACAGTGACTTCAAAACAAGCCAAATAGATCTCTTGGACTCAATTATTTCACTATACACCATCTTTAGAAATTTTTTTTAAAAAAAAACAAAATTCTCATTGGCATTTTGTCAAGCAAGTGAAGGTCATTCATCAACCATAAGATGCCCTGAGCCCAGGCATCAAATAAACCCAAACCCTGAGACACAAACATTATAGTAGTTTAGATGTACAAAAAATGCTATTCATTCAAAAAAAATTATACAGAGTTTGATGTCCACAAAACAACCACCATTCTTCAACCAAAAAACCAATCTAAAGTTTTCCCTAATCTGATATAGCAAATAGATTTTGAATATGGAGTAGAGGTTCAAATCATAATGAATCTAAAGAAATCATGCAAATAAAATATGGTTATTAAGGTTTAATAATTTGGGAAAAAGCAGAGATCAAGTAAGAGGAGAGAGGGGGAAGAGCTCTTACGCTCCACCGATAGAGAGAGAGAGAGCAGTAAAAGAGTGAGACCGCGAGTGAGAGAAAAGAAAAAACATACTTGGTGTTGGTATGGATGGTTGCCGGAGGCTGGATGGGCGTGCGATAGAGCAACGGTGTGTGACCGAGATAAGCGATAGAATTGAGAGAGAATAGGAGAAAAGGGGCCTTTAGGTCTAATTTTCTCACAGTCGAATGAAAAGGGTTGGTGAACAAATTTCTTTAGCTTCTGTTCCAAAAAAAAAAAAAATCGTTAGCCTAAAAAATAGCAGCATTTTAGGTAAGATAAAGATTTGGCAACCAATTTTGGCTTGTTGCCAAAGATAAATTTATAGCGACAAATATATTGGTCGCCAAAGATAAATAAATAGTCACCATAAATTTTTCCTCTTCTCACGCTTATTTTCGCCCCACGCCAAAAAGCTTCCGCAACCAAATATTTCAATTGGTCACCAATTCTTCATCCTTTGGCGACAAGTTGTAATTTGGTCACCAAATGGTTGTCATTAGCGACTAAAACCAATTTGGTTGCTAAAAATGGTCGCGAAATGTGCTTTTTGTTGTAGTGATTATCAGTGTCTTGGTTTTCTTGATTATATCAAGAGTATTTTGATCTACTATCGTCAGTGCAGACACCGGTAGACTTGATTTTCAGATCAGGCTTCATCTTGGAGGCAAATTTGCTGTAACCCCCTGCACACCTTTTGGTGGGTGCAAATATTGTCTTTAGGAAAGTGACCAAGTAATGCGTCTTGAAGCATCATATTTCTGCTCTACATAGACAAGTTCATTGCCAAGTTTTGAAGACCCAAAGACCACCAATTGAAAAATTCAAGATGAATTGTTTCAACAGGAACCACCCAGAACCTTCTAACCCCTGCTCATGGAGATCTCACACCACCTTTTCCACTACTGCAAATTTTTGTTAGGTGCAAGTATTACTTGTGTTGGATGGAAGTATATTATTAACATAGTTGGAAGATGATAGGGGAGGAGTGGGAAAGTGGGTAAGAGGGGGGTTTGAAATGAAAGAGGAGGACGAGAGAGGGTGGAGAAGACTTAGCCCTCGTTTGGCATAGGCTACTAGGTTAAAATAGTCACAAAAAGACCAAATAAGTTAAAATGTCAATAAGACAAAATATTATATTCAAACTATAATTATTTCATTTTTTCTCTCACAAAAGTCAAAAAATCAAAAAGTCCAACCAAAACGAGGCTTTTAGTCACCAGCTAAAATAGCCAAAAACCCAAAAAGTCAAAAATCCAACTCACTTCTTAAATGAAGCCTTAGGGAAATTGGAGGAGTGATTGTTAGTGGTAGTACAAGAATTACAAGGAAGAAGAAGAAGAAGAAGAAGAAGAAGAAGAAGAGGTTATTTTCGTAAATTAAAAGGTAATTTCCACCTTTTTGTATATAATTATTGAGTTAATTATCTAAAAATCCTTTTTACAAATGTTATGGTAGCTCAAGCCCTATCTAAGATTTTTTGAACCAATAAGTCATATTTAATAAAATTGAAAATATTATCAATTTTTTTTCTTCTAATTTTTAAAACTAAGAATATTATCAATTTTGCATAGTAATGTTGTAGATAATTGTTTCACTAACTGAAGAGGGGGAAAAAAAAGAGCATGAGATTAAACGTTTTTACCGTCCTATTTATTAGTTTGATTCAACTATAGAATAAAATCGAGAACATCATTAGTTTTTTCATTTTTAATGTTTTTTTTTTTTTTTTTGTTCCATCATCATACTTCTCTATAGACACAAAACATTCAGTTTTGCACAAAAAATAATTCAATTTTTTCAAAAAAAAAAGAATTTTTTTTAAATTTTTTTTTGCACATAAATTTTTTTTTTAGTTTTTTTCAATTTGAAAATTAATGTTTTAAATTTTTGAAAATAAAAATAAATGTCAAATCATCATATTTCTTTATAGATAACCATAAATGATGAACAATTATTATTTAAAGGGCAATTTCGATTATTAAAAATTTAATGGGATTTGCATATCTAAAAAATTTTAGTTAAAACTTAATAGAGCATAAGTTCATAAATTAAAACTTATGTGTAAATGTCTCAATATTATTTGAGGTGTAATTCCAAAAAAAAAAAAACTTTTAATTTGTAAATATGAACCCCAAATACCAATGTTACGTTATTTTTTCACAAAAAAAAAAAAAAATTATGATAAATTACACTGGCAACCTTGGTGTATAACAATAAAATCATACCGCCGTCTTTCTTACTTTCTAAAATGGGCCTAACTTCCCTCCAGTCCCAGATCAGACTTAAGGGTACTATTAGGTCCGTGTGAACCCATCACGGATCTCATTTTGATAATTCAAACCGTTCAATGTGTAGAACTTATCGAGTACTATATGCTTGTAAAACATCACATTGATCGAATATCGATAGCTACGTGATGAAATCAGTTTTGTATAAAACAAAACAGTGAAAAAATAAAATAGTTGATAGAAACTGATTTGATGAGTTAGCTATCGATATCCGATCAACATGATTTTTACAGGCATATAGTACTCGATGAGTTTTACACATTGAACGGTTTAAATTATCAAAAAGAGACTTGTGATGGGCCCCATAAGCCCAACAGCACCCTCTTGTCCGATCTGGGACCGGAGGAAAGCCACTGCCTTCTAAAATAACACTGACATCCTAGGACATGCAAGAGCATTTAGGTCTGTTTTGGGAAGTTTTTATTTTAATTTAAAAGTATAAAGATTATTATAAAAAAATTATTTTCATTTTTAGATTAAGTTTTTTTTCATGTTCACATCTCAACATGGGAGAATTTGAGGGAGTTATGGAGTCTGCCACACGTCTTGTTTTGATGATCCAAATTGTTTACTTTTTAGGATTCGTTAAGTAAAATATTCATGTAAAAAATTAAAATGATCGAATATCGGTAACTATATGTTTGAATCATATTTGTTTCATTTTTTAAAGCAAATATGATTCCAACATATAGTTACTGGTATCCAATCATCTTAATTTTTTACATGAATATTTTATTCAACGAGTCTAAAAAGGTTACGATTCGAATCACCGAAATCGGTTCCAAAATGAATCTACCAAACCCAAACGCTATCTCAAGTTGAGAAGCCAAACCCTTTATTTTATACACATCTTTTTTGTAAAAAATTAAAAGGTACTAAAAAATTCAATTACCAAAACAATCCTCGTGTTGTGTTTGGTTTAAGGATTTACGAAGAGATTTGGAAAGGGAAGGAAAAAAGTGAGTGAAATTCACCTATTTTCACATATATATTTTTTTTCAAATCTCTTTTCAAATTCATGAACTGAACACAGTCCAATGTCATGATAAGATACTTATAATATCCTTGGTTTACCTTATTTTACTGCCAAAATAGCTTACCTCTTCCTACTAGAGGTGGTCATTTGTCAGTCCGAGTCGGTTCGGATTGGGTCGACACTACATAATAAAAAGTTTTATATTTGTCCAAGTTCAGTCCGATCCTTACATTGGGCCTCTATTTTTGTCTAAGTTTGGCTTAAAAAATAATTATAAATCTCAAACTTACCCATCGAGCTATATGTTAAAAAAAAATTAAAACATTTCATAATTAAATTCAATCACATTATATTTTTTAAATAAATATACTGATATCATTATAAATTGAAAGATTTGTCAAATAAATTCAATCAAATATCACCACAAATGTGAGTTTTAATAAAATCAATAAAAATAAAGTGTAGATCTCAACAACAAAAAAAATATTTTAATATATTATAATTAATTAATTTTATAGCAAGTTTGTCTGGCTGTGTTGAAAGTGTAAATTTGAAACCCAACCATTTATATATTGAGTTGAAAATATTGACTTAACTCGACCTTATAAATTAAATAAATTTTTTTGAAAGGATTGGCTTCCCTTCAGTTTGTGATCGGACTGGAGAGTATTGTTAGGCCCATGGAGTTTCGCCACGGGCCTCGTTTCGATAATCCGAACTGTTCAATATGTAGAACTCGTCAAGTATTATATACTCACAAAAAATTATGTTGATCGGATATCGATAGTTATTTCATCGGATCAGATTTCTATCAATCGTTTATTTTTTCACGGTTCATTTTTATTTATTATACAAAATTGATTTGGTGGCAAAACTATCGATATTTGATTAACCTAACATTTTATAAATATATAATATTTAATAAATTTTACATATTAAACCGTTCAAATTATTAAAATGAAATTGATAATGAATCTCTAAAGACCCAATAATACTTTTCAATTCGTATCACCCGCCAATTGGTATCCAATTGAATTGAGGGGAAGCCAAACACTTTTTTCAAATTTTGAAAATATAAGATTGAATCAAACGAAATGAATGAGCCAACGGGCCGTTCGCGTTCGAATCCTCTAGAGTGTTTCGCTGAAGTGATCGGGTGGAGTGGTTTCACTGTTGAGTAACCAAGGTTGGAGATCAATTGCTCACCAAAACGACGTGGTTTTAGTGGGGAATCAAGAAAAGAAAATCTGTTTTGTGAGAGAGAGAGAGAGGAACTCTCGCTTAGGAGTCGCCGCCTTGCTCCGCCGCCGCCGACGAGGAGTGGTTGCATTGGGATTCAAGAAGCTGTTATTGAAAAGATTCAACAGGTTCATACTCCAAACTTGCATCAATTTCAGTAGCTCCTAAAATTACAGAGATTTCAAACTTGTATTCGACCGTCTCTCTCAATTTCAGAAATTTGGGATGGGTTACTCTAAAATTAATTGCTTTTTGTTTTCTGTTCTGTTTTGGTCTGAAATCAAACCAGAACAAATTGGGTCATCAATTTGCTATTGCTCGAACTCTTTTGAATTTAGCGGTGCTTTTCATGTTGATGTGAATTATGTGCAATTACAAGGACTGAATGAGAATTGTTCGCTGCCCAACTTGCCGGCCACAACACTGTTTTAACTCTTTCTCTCCTAAAATTACAGAGATTTCAAACTTGTATTCGACCATCTCTCTCAATTTCAGAAATTTGGGATGGGTTACTCTAAAATTAATTGCTTTTTGTTTTCTGTTCTGTTTTGGCCTGAAATCAAACCAGAACAAATTGGGTCATCAATTTGCTATTGCTCGAACTCTTTTGAATTTAGCGGTGCTTTTCATGTTGATGTGAATTATGTGCAATTACAAGGACTGAATGAGAATTGTTCGCTGCCCAACTTGCCGGCCACAACACTGTTTTAACTCTTTCTCTTTCACTCCTTCTTCTCTCTGCTTCACAACACACCCTAGAGTTCAAATCACCATATCTCTACACAGCCCAATGACCAAAACACCAAACCCCTTTAACAAATCTAAATTCCTATACATGTATGTATATATATTTTTTATATCGTTATTCAAAAGGTTTTTTTTTCCCTTCTAATTTTGGGGTTTCTTTGATATTACAGTGAATGCTTATGGGTTATGGTGGGTTAAGGTTTTGGAATTATGGAGGCATATTTGAGGTTGCTAGTGATTGTCCATCCAGTTAGCTTATTCAGAGCATTTGAAAGGTCCTTTTTTTGTTGTTGTTGTTGTTGTTGTTGTTGTTGGTCTTGTAGTTTTTCTCTTTTGTATCTTAATGACTTACATTTGATATGTGTGAGTTGCATTGTTTTTATTCCTGGGAGCTCAAGCTAGGGTAGTTTATACAATCGAATTGAGACATGCAAAGCTCGAGTTGCCCAACTGCTTGTGGTATTTTTACAATAGAAAGAAATATATGCTAGACATAGAGATTGAAAAAGAAACACTAAACACGTTTGAAAAATAGCAACTATCCCATGAACAATAACAATCAGTCTTCCCTAATCCAACAATCCTAGATTTTTTGACACCACTTGACATCCCTACATAATTTCAAACAACATACCATTACTTTGAATAAGTCAAAGACCACTAACTTTGGACTTACAAAAAATAAATATAGACATGTTTGAATTCGATTCCCAACACTGCTAACTAAGCCGAGCTTAGCCACAATTCTCTGTTGAGCTTGAGCACAACTAATTTTCATCGTGCACGACTACTCAACTTGGCTTGACTCAATGACAGCCCAACCACGTGATCCTACATGATGCATAAGATCAGGCCACGTGAGAAAATTCCAATTCATTCTCTTATTGAAACTATTTTGTGTGATTTTGTTTCATGCAACTGACATGAGATTGGGCTAATTATATTTGCCAGCCCTTTAAATCATAGTTTACAGATAGGAACAAGTAATGTTTGGTATTTGTAAGACACCCAAAATGGGATTATTTTTGAAATATATAATTTGGGCACTTGATTTTTCTGATTTACTTTCAACAGAGAAGACAATCATATTCAGCAAAAGCCTTAGGTGCAACATAGAGAATGATAAAAGACTTTGGCATTGCCGTACAAAGTATGTACTTTTCTTTTAGTTAACCACAACTTTAATGCAAAATTGGTGATTTGTTTTTTTTTGTTTTTTGTTTTTGTTTTTGTGTGTGTGTGCGTGTGTGTAAAAACTACTCAGCAAATTTGAAAGCAGAATCTGGGTGGTTATTTCATCTATTCTCCAATGCAAAACAGAGAGCTCCTGCTGCATATGCATGGTATGTAATATGTATAAACTATGTTGGATGGTAATATTACAGTAGCATATTGATGTAAGAAGCATGGACGCTTCCAAGAATGTGTCATGTCATGTCGAGCTGTGCTTTGTCAAACACCGACATGACACAACACTCATCGGATATTTCTCGACACTCGGTGCACACACATGATCAACTATTGTTTAAAATTTCCTAGAACACTTGGGAACATATGTGAATCGTTTAGATACAAATAAAGCACATTAGAAGTTTGATTACAACAATTTGGAATTCAATGATAAAGAAAAACAATGCATATGTGTACCTATTCTCTTCTTTTAGACTTCATAAATTAGTCTTACATTGCATTTTGTTATTATTTTTGAATTAAATATTCATATACATGATATATAATAATTTCTTATCCTTATGGATGACATATAATAAATATATAAAAGTATACGTGTCCCATAAGTTTTGCACGTGTCCTATGCGTTGTGTCCCTACATTTTTTGAAATTTTTTGTGTCGGTGTGTCCTTGTCCATGCTTCTTGTATATGGACTTTGCTGGAAATTTGTGTTATAATAAGATAGTGGCATGTATATAATATGATAGTGGTATTGGTGGTAGATAGTGGCATGTATAGAATATGATAGTGGTGTTGGTGGTAGATAGTGGCATGTATAGAATATGATAGTGGTGTTGGTAGTAGATAGTGGCATGCATATAATATGATAGTGGTAGATAGTGGTAATATATAATATGTAAGTGGCATATAATGGGTTATAATGATGTTTGCTCAGTATGCCTGTAAAAAGAATGAGTAACAAATTCTTTCATCATATTCCCTAGTTTTTGGAATTGTTTGAGTGTCAAACAATTATGTGACTTGATCATTGACAAGATTGTTCTTGTTTCTCCTTAAAATAGGGAAATGACACATAATAAAGATGCTGATTGGTTCTGGACTTTCTTGTGTTGAAGTAGGATAAATTTTAGTTGAGTTATGTGTTTGCTTGCATCTTCCATGTCAAAATATGAAATGAAAGTGAAGCATACAAAGTGGTTGTCTTACAATTGTTGTGTTAGAATCACAACGTACATTATCATAACTTTGCAAATCATGTTCTAGTGTTAAAAATCAACAATTGACACTACAGTTTTTGATATTAAACAAGATTGTACATATGATATTCAAGATGAGGACAGGGATTGTTATGGTCTTCATTTTGTTGCACTTTCCTTCAACATTAGTCTTCTAAAAAAATTATATCTAACTGATTGTGACATTCATTATGTTATAGGCATCAACTTTACCTTTTGCAAATGTTAGGGGGCTTAATCAGTTAAAAGCCAAAGGAGCCAAGATGGAGCTTTCTATAATGCAACCAGATGATTGGCATCTTCACCTCCGTGATGGTGTCTTTCTTGAAGTTGTTATCTCTCACAGGTAATTTTGTGGGAGAAAAATTGTAAAATTTGTTTTGTATACTTTCATTTAGTTAGGGGAATTTTTGTTATTCAGATACTGATTCAAAGTATCGTTAGTTTATTTTTTCTTTATGAATTTAGTTTAGTTGTGAAGAGTTATAATTTGTATTTTATCTGCTATTCATTATGCCTACAGTGCATTTCATTTTGGAAGGGGAATAGTTATGCCAAATTTAAAACCTCCCATCAAGACAACAGCTGCAGCAGTGGCTTACCGAGAATCCATCTTGAAAGCATTACCTGCAAATAGTGACTTCATACCTCTTATGACACTTTACTTGACAGATACCACAACTCGTGAGGAGATCAAACTTGCTAGTGAGTATTACCTACAACTTGCATTCTGATAGTCTTTTAGGTTCTTAACATTCTGAAGATTATTAGATTTTACTTGAGTCGCATATTTAATTCAATATGTACTTATTGAAGCTTAACGGAAGCTTATTAATTGCACTTCTCTGTAACTCATTTTTTCCTTGTTACTTCTGTGTTTTTGTTCAGAACACAGTTTTTAGTCAGGAACCTTTGTTCTATGCTTCCTAGTAAACTGTTATATTTTTTTTGCTATTTGGGATTGACTTTCTCTTCCTCTAGGGAAATCAATTGTGGCTACAAATGGGGCAGACGATGTTATGTATTATCAGCATAGCTATTGATTTGCATAATTAACTTAATAAATTTCATAATTAACTTAATAGATTTAAAGGAAACCTTCAACATTTAAGAGTTCAGGCTGGTGAGATGTTTTGATTAATATTGAAAGGCACGTTCAATATGTGCATTAATTTATTTTTTTTGAATTTTTCAGTTGGGTCTTTTGATTTTCCAATGTCGCCAAATTTTATAATGGTGGGGATGTTCTGTTTTTTTTTTTTTTTTAAATTATTAATTGATGCTAGCTGTAGATTGGTATCTTGGCAAATAACTTGTGCTTGGAAATTTGGATCTTCATTGAACAAAATTTCTGCTACAGGTTAACTTCATGGCTTCAAAATAACCAAGCAATATCTCAATTTTGAAAGTATCTGAAGTTTAATACGTTCATTTAGTTTATGACATGTAGGTTTGCTAGTCCTTGTCATTCTTAAAAACCACTTAGTCAATTTATCAAGTAGGATAAAATTTGCCACCCACAAATACCATGTGTCCTCAGTGGACTGCCATGGTGGATTCACAGAGGTTTTCCTAGTTTGCTTTCGGCTTCAAGAGTGATAGTGTCGCACTATAGGGACATATCCACTCTCATATTCTCCTGTTGGGTCCCAGCACCTTAAAACAAATCTCAAAACTACAAAAGACTCAATATGATTGTTGCAAAAGTACTTGATGCAATCATCGATTGATATCCTTGGGTCCAATCCACTTTAGTTTGTGTTTTTATTCTTAGCTTTTATAAGAACGTAAGATGAATATTATGCGTGATGCTTGTCCATCAAACATTGGATTGAAAGTGTCAGGCAAACCTATGGCTCTGTTTGGTAGAGCTTTTGAAATTTAATTCTACCCCTTAGTTTGAGTGTGTTGTTTGGTTACAGGTTTAGAAAATTAATTTCACACCCACTTTTTAAAACACCCACTTTTTAATATTATATATCACATCACTCAATTCAAACGCTTTTTAAAACTCATAACCAAACAAAATTTTCACACTCAAATCATAATTCCAAAACTCACAAATTCAAAATACAACTCTATTCTCAAATCATAATTCTAAAATTCTACCAAACGCAACCTATGATTTTGGGCAAAACTGACCTTGTATTATTTCCAAACCCTGTTTGAGTCTTAAAAAGTTTATCAAAAAAAGAAATGAGTTCCTTCTGGTCGTCAATAGGCAAATGATATCTGCTTCTACGGCATAATTGCAGAAGGCCAAATGACACTTCATTAGAGCAACTTTACAGGCTGTAAGATGTGAGCTGCTTCATAAGTGGATATCTTGTTTATTTTTCAAAGACACAGCCTCAACTCAACTCAATAAGCCGTAATCCAAACTATTTGGGCTGGCTAAACACAACCTAGCATGACTACATGACTATCATGTTTTGTTTGTCCAATACGAGAAAATACCATTTTTTATCAGAGTTCTTTTGTTTTTAATCTACAAGTTCATGGGGAGGTTACAGATCCTGAGGTTGACATTTTTAATCGTGAAAGGGTATTCATTGACACTGTTCTAAGACCCTTAATTCAAAGGTTCCACAGCTGAAGGTTGTGATGGAGCATGTTACTACTGCGGATGCTGTTAGGTTTGTCGAGTCTTGCAGTGAAGGTACATTTTGTGGTATTTTCTGCATTAACATTTGTTTATTTACTTTGACCCTTTTTCTTGGTGAAAAGAAAATGATATATTTTGTTAAAATTGAAATATTATTGATTGAAGTATTGATACAAGATTGTTTTATTACAATTCCTATACAATCTATATATAGAAGAAAATGTGGTAGTAGGTGTAGTGGAGGTGATAGTGGGTTAGGTGAAGTGGAGTGTGTGGTGAAGTGGAGGTAGGTGAAGTGGAGTGTGTAGTGGAGTAGGTGAAGGTAAAGATGGGAAATTCTAACAGCCCCCCGCAAACTCAAGGAGGAGAGAAACTAACCAACTTGAGTTTGGAGAGAGGAACAAAACAAGAAAATACATAAAAATAAAAAAAGATAGGAGACACTGTATGGTTGTGTCAGACCGTTGGTGAAGACACTGAAAGGTGGTGCCATAACGTGGTAGAGGACACTGGATGTGGTGTCATAACGGTGTAGAGGACACTGTATGGTGGTGTCATAACGGTGTAGAAGACAGTTTATGGGGTATGGTTGTGTCAGACCGTTGGTGAAGACACTGAAAGGTGGTGCCATAACGTGGTAGAGGACACTGGATGTGGTGTCATAACGGTGTAGAGGACACTGTATGGTGGTGTCATAACGGTGTAGAAGACAGTTTATGGGGTCATGTCGGACCGTTGTAGAAAAACAGTTTATGGAGTCTTGCTGGACCCTTGTAGAAACTAACCGGAATCAATGTCGGGACAGTTTACAAAGTCTTGTCGGACCCATGAAGGAGCTAACCGGAATCAATGTCGGGACAGTTTACAGAGTCTTGTCGGACCCATGTAGAAATTAACCGAAAACAATGTCGGGACAGTTTACAGAGTCTTGTCGGACCCTTGTAGAAACTAACCGGAATCTATGTCGGGACAGTTTACAGAGTCTTGTCGGACCCATGAAAAAGTCGCACCCTCAAAAAGTGTGCCCAATTTTATCAAAAGGCGTGCACAGAGTCTTGTCGGACCCTTAAAAAATCGCACCCTCAAAAGGTGTGCCCAATAAAGGCGTGCCCAATCCATAAAAAGGCGTGCCATAATTCATCAAAAGGCGTGCCGGACATGATGGCGAGGCACGTGGGCGCCTTGGCTTGCGTGCCCGTTTTGTCGGCTAGTGGCAAGAGACGCGCGATGCGCGTGGCTGGCCCTGGCTATTTAAAACAAGGTTGAGGCGAAGGCTGTGCATACGAGTCTGAAACCTCTGAACGCTCGGAGAGCTTGTCTCTGCAAATCTTGAAACACCCGGAAACCAACCCTTCTCTGAAACACTTAGCAACTCAAAAACATGGCCTCTTCTTCCCGTCCAGCTACCCAGAACATGGCCTCCTCTTCCCGTGGTCTGCTTACGCTCTTTCCAGAACTGAATGAGTCCACAAGAGAAATAACTGGTGTGGTGGCCAGTGAACCTCAACCAAACACCTCTGGTTTTGCTCCGTTGAACTTTCCGATGCGGTCGGTAGAGCAAAAAATGGCAGTGCAAACGGACATTGAAGCCAATCAGTATACTTTGAAGTCCTGTGTGGAGACGATGACGGCAGTCACAAACTTGTCGCACCGGCTGCAGAGCAGGACAAATGAGGTGCAACAGTTAAACTCCCAGCTGGCTCTGCTCCAACGCATGTATAAGGATGCGCGAGCAGAGATACACTGGTCAGGAAATTCAAGATGGTAATGTGATCGGTGTGATCTAAAGAATTTGAGGAATGTGATTACATATATACATTCTTCAAGCTCAAGAGATCTAAAGAATTTGACATAGGTGGTACAGCTTTCCAGGAATCAGGGCTGAAGAGATCTTGAGTTGCCTTGGCCATAGAAGTTGTATTTCTTGAAACATGAAAGAACAGATTGAGGATGATTTTGCAGAAATCACATGGCATAGCAGTGTCTTCACCTGATTGCTCATATGATAACTATTTTTTCTTACCACAATATGTATCTGTTAATACTGTATTAATTTAATAGATTTCACCACTCATGCTTTGCTATCAATGCAGTTTTGAATATAAAAAAGACAAAAGATGATAAGGAAATATGGTGATTGTAACATTATTATTGATCACCAGCACTAATCATGTACCAAAGTGAATGTTTTGTGACGTGGTAAGCCATGTTATCATATCCAATGACCATGGATACAATGTGAAAAAAATAAGAAAGTTCATCTAACATAGGCTGGCGGTAGCTTTAGTTTTGTGATGAAGATTGATTCGATTCTGCTCAGATGAAACTAACATTGAATTTGTAGTCAATGTTTTCATGAATGAAAGTCAGCTGCTTAATATTTGTGCACATCAAGAACAAGAACAGGTTAATATTTGGATAAATTATGCTTTACCCCTTCAACCTTAAAAGTTAAATTTGTACAATGAATCCCCTTGAGATCAATATCAAACTGTAAAAATGACATTTTTGATCAAATTAATAGCGTGTGGGCTTGATGGGTGGGTAAATTCCACTTTACCACACGCAACCTCTTGAAATTTGATTGTGTAACCAATGAAACCCTTGGATCAATACCAAACTACAAAAATGAATGCCTGTAATGGAAAAATTAAAAAGATAATAATTATCTTCATACATTTCTTTTCTGCTTGTAGTGAAGATTCTTACAATGAGGAATTTGCACCAGAAACAATCTTGCCTCCTCTTGACCCCTATTTAGCTGTTGCAAACTTCCTTTTTTCCCATATTTGTCTTCCCTTATCCCTACTCCCCATTCACTGCAAGCCTCTCCCATCTCTCTTAGGCTATCCTTCGTCCTCTCCATTCCCATTCCGTCGTTGCAACCCATCTTCTCTTTTCTACTCCTGTTACAGATCATCTTTCCTCCCACCTATCTGTTGGTGGTGATGGTGGTTTTGAGTGCAGGTGACAGGTAGTGATAGAGTGTGGTGGTGGTGTTTTTGGGGTGGCGGTGATGGGTGGTATTAATGGGTGGAATTTGGCAGTGCTAATGGATGGTGGGAAGAGAGAAAAGAAAGATGGGACGAGATCATTGTAACACTTGCATTATGTACATCCAATTTTGCACATTGGTTGACCCCAAGTGTGTTTATTGTCACAAATCAAATTTTGAAGGACACTGTGTTTTTTAGTCTCAAGGGAGGTTTTTACAATTTCATTAAAAGCACCAGATGAAACAAAAGAAACAAGAGAAAAAAAAAATATTAAGACGAAAGAGCATAGCTTCAAAGAACTTGATGAGGGAGATTATAAGCTGCTCTAGTTAACATCCCTTCATCTTCTTCTTCTTCTTCTTCTTCTTTATTATTATTTTTTATTTATTTATAGAGGAAACAAGAATTTACCCTGCTGAGATCATGTCCAAGATTGTGAACTGTAACAATTTACGTATTATTGATTGATTGATATCTGATGTATTACAAGATTGATGAATTACAATTCCTATACAATCTATATATAGAAGAAAATGTGGTAGTAGGTGTAGTGGAGGTGATAGTGGGTTAGGTGAAGTGGAGTGTGTGGTGAAGTGAAGGTAGGTGAAGTGGAGTGTGTAGTGGAGTAGGTGAAGGTAAAGATGGGAAATTCTAACATATTTCTTCCCTTATTAGGATTTGTTGCAGCAACCGTCACGCCGCAACATCTTGTTCTTAATAGGAATTCCCTTTTTCAAGTGGGATTGCAGCCACACAATTACTGCCTTCCAGTACTAAAAAGAGAGACCCACAGTATGTTCCATACACTCTTTTTCACTAACCAGTAATGGAAACTTACCTCTCTCATGTTGGCAAACCCGATATTGTTATGATTTATTCATTCAATCATTTATTTCTTTCATGTTGATCCTTGCCGTGAGTAACTTTTGTATCCTAAATGGTGTGATGATGAATCAGATGTTTGTGGTAGTTGGGACGGTTAAAGATTTGTGTCACTTGATGTGCCTTGTTTTCTTTGTCGCTGTTTGTGTTTTAGTACCTTCCCTCTATGCACTATGAGAAATGAATTCGACAAGAAAAATCTCTTTAGATAAGATAACCTTGCAAACCTACACATGATTGTCCCTTTTGCAAGACATATGACCCTGATAAATGATCTGTGCGTAAACTTCGGTTATACCTTTCAACAATAGTACCAGAAAAGAATTCATGGAATTACTGTTTGTAGTGAAATTAAAAACTTCTGAAATGCATAATAATAATGTCAATTTTGTTGTTGGTCATACAGTGAATGACATTGGAGAATTCAAAGAGTATATAATTGTGCTGCAAAAAGGCACTTGTCCTATCTAGTTAGTGTATGTTGACTGGTAATAATTTTGAATGAAAGTTTTGAAGCATTTCTTAAGGTAAGCTTACTTGCATTTACTCCAGTATAATGTTCGTAACAAAATCCAGAAATGCTTTAAGAAATTAGATAGTTGTTTTCCTATGCAATATTGCTTTCTTATTAGATAGTTATTTTCCTATGCAATATTGCTTTCTTATGCTCTGCGTGATTAAATTATTTGTCTATCTTTTTGTGGCCCTGGTCTAAGCCCATGCATTGTTTTTTCCCCTAGGACAAGCTATTGTGTTAGCTGTGACAAGTGGTAGTAAAAGATTTTTCCTTGGAACCGATAGTGCTCCTCATGAGAGATGAAAAAAAAATGTTCTTGCGGATGTGCTGGTATATACAATGCCCTTGTCGCCTTATCACTCTATGCCAAGGTTTTTGAAGAGGTAATATCTCCTAGTACACCTCTGATCATGTTTGTTCCAGTCGTTTCATAATTTCATGTTTTTACTTTCTTTTGGTGCATTAGAAAACTTAGTGATAAACTATTGTGTAACTCGACCACATAATTTATTCTCTTGGTAATATGTTTGACTTAATTTTTTTCATAATTCAATGACAAGGTGCTTTAATAAAATCTATTTTACATTGTCCAACATTATTTTATTTTATTTTATTTTTTCTTCTCAATGTTAAGGCTGGTGCACTTGACAAGCTAGAAGCCTTTACAAGCTTTAACGGACCCAACTTCTATGGGCTCCCAAGAAACACATCGAAAATCAAATTGATCAAGAGTCAATGGAAGGTGCCAGAATCATTATCCTATGCAACTAGTGAGATTATTCCGATGTTTGCTGGTGAAACACTCGAGTGGCTGCCTTCCTCTGTTTAATCAAAACAAGTACGTTTCCTTGCTTTTTGTTATTGGGAATAAATGCGTATGTTGTTCCATTGGATGGAAGCAACCAGTTTTTCTATTGTAGTGTCATGCATTTATGAAATGAGGTGGAAAAAACATGAATCCCCTTATCCATCTTGCAATAATACTAATCGACTCTTCCGAGCATGGATTGGTGGTATACATTAAATAGTTATTTTTCCTTTAGGCAATACAATCCGGCCACACCCGTTAAGTCTTTTGAAGGGAAAAACAAGAACTCCATTGATGAAAGAATGAGAAAGCAAACCATTACTGGAGAATAAGTGGCTCGAGCCTGACCAGTCAGTCTGAGGTTGGGGTTAATCTTGTCTACGGGACCTTTGCAGCAAAACATATATTGTGCCTCTTTGGTAAAACTTTTTTCCAGCTTAAATCAGCTTTTGGCTTAAATTAAGTTATGTTAGTGTGTTTGGTACAACTTATAAGGCACAGATTATAGCTTAATTTAAGTCATTTTCGGCTTAAATCTGAAAGTTACTCCAAGGGTGCTTATAAATTTAGCTTAAGACCGCAGCTGATCCTGGAGGGGCAAAATGACTTAAATGCCCTCCAAAACTTAAGAAATTGCGAAAATGCCAGTATATAAACACAGTTCTGAGTTCAGACCTAACACTTCTCCTCTCAAACGGCGCTCTCCTCTTCTCCTCTCCTCTCGCTGCCGAACGACGAAGAACTGCTCCACACATCGAAGATCGCCGGCGATCATCCTTGTTTTCCGTTGATCTCCACCAAAAAGTAAGATTTGAAACCCTAAACCCTATGTTTTGTTATATATAGATAAATATTAGATATACACATCGATTTAGGGTTTTTTTGGTTTTTGGTTGCTCTGTGTTCAAATCCGATTAGGGTGTGCTTGTTTTTGGTTTCTGGTTGCTCTCTCTCTCTCTCATCGATTTTGGTTTCTGGTTCATGTAGGGTACCCCTCTTTCTGGTTCATGAAGGCAATACATCGATTTTGGTTTTTGGTTTTTGGTTTCTGGTTCATGTAGTTTCACATATATTTTATATTTATTTGAATAATTTTCTTTTTTATAATTTGGATTTTACCCATATCTAATAAACGTTTTGCTATGTTTGCTATTTTGGGTTCTTTGATCTTTTCGTGCATATATTTGGGTTTTGATCATCTGGGTCTCTTGCTTTTTGATCAAATTTTAGACCCTGTTCAGTGTTTGCACTAATTTTGATATTTAGGTTATTTAAGATTTCTGTAATTATGGTTTACCTTAGACATGTTTATTGGATTTGATCTCATCTATATGCTCATGTGGTTACCCAATCCTGCTTATTAATTATTATCCACAATTCATGTAGTTTTCTATGTTTATGCAATCCCCTTATTATCTGCCACTAAAGCACATCAACATCCTTAATCTAGTTAAACTTGCATTCTACCAATAGGAAATCAAATCTGCCCTCCAAAAATAATATTATGCAAAGGGAAAATTATAACTGAAAAAACAGTCAGCAAGTGACCGCACCTCTTGAATCAGCATTTAGTTTTCTACTAGTTTTTGTATTAGAATAGAAGGAAATGAATTGAATTGAATTGATAATGCAGTAGATTTTCTTGCAGTAATCCTCTGATCCTAATGAAGATTGGGTTTTTGGAGAAAATGGAAATTCATAATAGGTATTTGACAGATCTGGTACAGACCTGGTAGACACTTTCCACTAGGCCAAACTGAAATAAATATGTAAGTGGTGAAGTTTTAATAATTTATGCAAAAAAGTGGACCATCTTTGTGACGTTTTGTGGTTTCTTTTTGGGCTTCCATCTTGTTTGATTCGGTATGTCTTGTTAATACCCTTTTCCTTAGCCACTGATTCAGTTTGTCTATCTTCATTTCTACTTTGGCCTTTTAATATGTCTTTGTGCTTTGATTAGAGTCTCCACTATTTAAAAGAATGACCACTACATTTTTTTGGCTATGAATCCCATATGTATAGCAAATGGTTGGTATAAACAAATACCTATTGTGACAGATAATTATTTCATTGAAGTTGGTATAGCAAGTGACCACACTTCTCTGAAAATATAGGACTACATCACTCAACCCTCAAGAAGAATATCCCTTACCTAAGGACCAGCTTAGAATCTGCAACAACAAACTGTTAGAAAAACAATATGAGGCTCCCATCTCTCAACTCTCTAAGCTTACATCTCTCACTCATCAAACCTGTATAGACCTTTCATCACTCAACTCTCCTCCCTACAGTTAGACCAACTTAACACTGCAGAAAAATCTGTTAGAAACTAGTAGTACATAAACATTATACCCAAAACCACAAAGCAGAGTTGCAATTCATCCTGTAAAACCTGCACTTTACAACAACTCATTACAGCCTACTGCACAACTCAAGGGCTTCTTTAATCATATTGACTGAAGGCACATGTTTGTTTATTTCATTCTCTGTAACTGTAAAACAACAAAGTAGGTAGCTGATTTATTAAATTGAGAGAAACAAGCCAATTCTTTATACTATTTGGGACTTTGATTTCCCTATCACCAAACATGCTCTCCACTATATGCTAGTTATTCTGTTTGTTTGATTGTCTTGATGGGAATTTAGGACCAAAGTGCACAATAGGGTTAAGAATTAAAGACAATGGTCATGTATAACTTCTTTAACTTACCAATCAAATTTTAGAGGATTTGGATTCAATTCTTCCTAATTAATGTAGAGGCATGTCATCCTCTAATAACTATTCTTCCGGTGCTGAGACCTTGGACTTGAGGTATGAGGCTTTGAAATGTGAGCGTGGTGTAAGAGTTGCCATAAGGGTTACCAAATCTGACAAGCCATCAAAAGGAAGACTATATGTCATTTGTGAGAAGAGAAATTGTCAATTTTGGAGGTGATGTACCCCAAAATCTATGACGATGGTAGAGAGGCAAAGGAACAAGACAAATCTTTATCAAAATCAAAGCATCAAGATTGTAGGACTAAAAGTCAAGAACCAAATGCTTGAGCAATCCTTAACATTCATGAAGCAGCTTGTTGTGGGTTTGCTCACAACTTGTATTGTTCTATTAGTTGAATTACTTTTCAAATGATTGTAGGTGGCTTTTAGATCAGATGTTTTTGTACTAAGTTCTGTACCCAATCAATGTTGATATGTCTATCTTAGTTGCCATGTATGGTTATTATGTACTAATCTTATGTTTTAATGTAAGCAATGATGAATGAGTATGTGTTAAAGAATTTTTGTTTCTTTCATAGAATAAGTACCTAAGAGGAAACACAATCTGAAAATAGGAAGAACAAAGAAAAATCCTCTCAAGTACCATCCGTTAAGGCTCATTGGGATTGGGATGCAAAATCAAATAAATTTTTTATTAAGCTTTGTGTTGAGCAAGTGAAGGTTGGACACAGACCTGATACACACTTAGATAGGGTCGGGTGGGAAAATGCAATAACTAAGTTTAAAACTATGACTGGAAAAGCATACCAACGAATACAAATGAAAAATCATTGGGATGTGTTGAAAAAAGACTGGCTTTTGTGGAACAATCTGTTAAGGGATAAGATAGGCTTAGGCCGTGATACATTGACTGGAGCTATATCTGCATCTGATGAGTGGTGGACTAAGAAATTGGAGGTAAGTGAATTGCTTAATGTACATATTCTGTTTGTTTTTTTGTTTAAATAGACCAAATTTTGTAACTTGAAATTGTTAAATTTTCCTTTGTAATTGTTGCAGAGATATCCTGATGCTGCTAAATTCCGGCGTATGCCATTGCAATTCACTGAAGACTTAGACATATTATTCTCAGATTCAGCTGCTACAGGAGAATGGGCATACACTCCTAGCTCAGGGGTTATGCCTCACACTGATGAGACTGTGGAGGAATTTCATACCCCACATGATGCTGAATTTCTTAATGATGCTGATTTGAAGGTGGTTCGTCCTTCCGAGTTAAACAAAAAACGTCCATTAAATACTGATGGTTCATCAACCAAGAGCAAGAGAAAGAAGAAATTTACTGGTGCAGCTCTACTTACCAAGACACTTGATCGTATAGTCAACGTGGTTGAGTCATCTTTAGCAACTTTAACACAGACCTCATTAAGATATCCTTCAATTGCAAAATGTTGGGCGAAGTTGGAAAGCATCCCTGGTGTATCCCCAGATGATGAGCTGTATGTATGGGTTGCCCGATTATTCTTATGAGTCAAGCGTCGTGAGTGCTTCATAACTCTTCCTACGAATGAAGTTCGGCTGAGGTTTCTAAAGTTGGAGATTGAGATGGAGAAGACCACCACAGGTTATCACGACTAATTGTGGACTGCTCGGTTGTTCTTAGGACTTTTATTATTAATTGTGGACTACTGTGTTGGACTTTTATTTTACTAATTGTGGACTGTTCTGAATTTCCTAATTTTTGCTTTTATTAATAATGACTATGTTGGACTTTTAATTGTGGACTCATTATTTGGACTTTTATTAATATTATGTTGGACTTTGTTAGTTAAATGGTTGGTGGGTAGGTGGCATTTTTTCAATTGAATGGTAGGTGAATGGTTGACTTGTTGAATGTTAGTTGAATGGCTGAATGGTTGATTTAAATCTTGAATATATGAATGGTAGGTGAATGGTGAAGATTATATATATGTATATGTAGGTGAATGGCGAATGGTGAAGACTGTTGTTGTGCTGAATTACCATCTGGTGCTGTGCTGTATTTTTTTTGGGCATCTATTTTGCTGTATTTGTTGCTATATTTCTGTGTTGTTTGAAGTTGAAGGTATAATTTTTTTCCTTTACGTTTGAATCTCTCCAAGTTCTATCAAATACCCAATTTATGAGCACTGTTTAGACTCCTGTCAATTTCAATTCAAGTAGAATTTCTTGATAAAAAATTAAAAAAAAAATAATTCAAGTAGATAAGTTATGTTCTGAGTTAAGTCTGCAGTAATCGTTTAATCAAATGCAATTATGATGTATTCACCACATCCATGCCTTTCTTTGGCTTTTCCTTATTTCTTTTAGTCCCTTTAATGTGGATCAGATCACTTCTTTAAATTACCAGTTTGATTACAAATCTGATTGCTGACTTGACTTGCACTTTATATTGACCTTCATTGAGATAATCTCTGTTAGTATATATAAAGCATTTCCACTTGAATTTTTATTGGACACTTGACTTGAACAAAACAGAGTAGCCTTGCAAGATCAGTTACTTAAACATGTTGCTTGCAACTACTCTTCGTGTCTGTGTATTCATGAGTATGTAACTTTGTTTAGCTCTATGAGCTTCTGATATTTTGATGCTTTGTAGGATAAGGGAGTAATCTCAGAACATCCAAGATTATGATGCTTATTATTTATATGCTTAAAATAAAGCAAGTGCAGTCCGCACTTGCCACGTTATCGTACCATATCTACTGCAAACTAGTGGTAGTTCAAGGGGTAAAAATGTGAGAAGTGAAGGAATGTTGGTCGTTTTCCCTCCGTCCTAAAATGTTAGTCTCTTTTAGGGAATTCAACTTTTTTTAGTAGTACAATTATTACACTTCAAAAGTATTAAATTTTCAAAACTACCCTTTGACTTCTTCTTGGGAACATCAATTGTCATAATTAATGAATTTAAAAAAATGACGAAATAAAATATTCATGTTATTTTAGTCTTTGATTTGTGAAAAAAGACTAATATTTTGGGATAATGAAAAATAGAATGAGCGACTAATATTTTGGGACAATGAAAAATAGAATAAGGGATTAATATTTTGAGATGGAGAGTAGATTTTTTAGGGCCCTACTCACTATATATTCACTACATTATATTATATGTACATAAAAGACCTTAGAGGATCTGGGTAAATGAACATGCAATTTTACCAAGAACTTTCACTAAATTAGGTAGAAATACAACTCTCAGATAAGTTTTGTACAAATTTCAAACCGCAACCAGCTTGTTAGATTTACTAGTGAAATTCTCACAAGACAAAGTTAGAATGGTGTGAACAGGGAACTTTACTAAGCCTTCATGGCATGTTTTGACAATTTTATTCCATTGTGTTGCAATGTTCCTAGACTAAATCGAAATTCTAAAACTTATCAGTCCAAGAAAAAGAAAAAAAGGACAGAAAGGAATAGAAAAGACTCAAACCAATCAACTGTAATTTTTTCATAGAGTATTTTCATTACCTTGGTCCTGATAAAACTGATGGAAATAAAGTAGTAGCAGCACCAATGTGATTCCCTTGGTGACCATGAACTGTGATTGCTTTTGGTGCCATAGGAGTTGTGAAGTTATAATCCAAATTGCTTTGAACATCTACAGAACCCTCCAAGACCTTAACCACCACCGACATGGAAGGCCTCCTGGAAAAATCACTTTGTAGACACCACACAACAACCCTCATCATCTCCACAACTTCTGCTTTATGTGTTTGCATGTCATCATTGTATTTATCAACGATATCCAGAAATCGCTCCTCTTCTGCTTTCCTCTTAAATAGATCTAGTAGATGCATATCTTCTTCAGGTTGAGACCTATCCAAATTTTTGCGCCCACACAACATTTCCAAGACCACGACACCAAAGCTATAAACATCTACTTTCTCAGTGATAATTGAGCTTAACCATTCAGGAGCCAGATAGCCTGGTGTTCCCCTCATCATTGTTACAACTTGGCTTTGGTCCTTATCAATTAGTTTTGATAATCCAAAATCAGAAATTTTCGCGTTGAAGTCTTCATCTAAGAGGATGTTTTGGGGTTTGATATCCAAGTGAAATATCTTTTTTGCGCCCACACAACATGTCCAAGACCACGACACCAAAGCTATAAACATCTACTTTCTCAGTGATAATTGAGCTCAACCATTCAGGAGCCAGATAGCCTGGTGTTCCCCTCATCATTGTTACAACTTGGCTTTGGTCCTTATCAATTAGTTTTGATAATCCAAAATCAGAAATTTTCGCGTTGAAGTCTTCATCTAAGAGGATGTTTTGGGGTTTGATATCCAAGTGAAATATCTTTTGCCTACATTCCTCATGGAGATAGGTTAGTCCCTTGGCTATATCCATGATGATCTTCCTCCTGGATTGCCACCCAAGAGTGAGCTCCTGCTGCCTTTGGAAGATCCATGCATCCAAGGATCCATTGGACATGTACTCGTAAACTAGAAGCCGATATGATTTTTCAACACAAAATCCAATTAATCTCACCAAATTGACATGGTGAATGTTTCCTATTGTCTCAACTTCAGCTAAGAATGACTTCTTAACTTGACTAAAACCATTGAGACGCTTCACTGCTACGTTAGTGCCATCAATTAATGTCCCTTGAAACACTGGCCCAAATCCTCCTTCTCCAAGCTTTTTATTGAAATTGCTTGTCATGGCTTTCAACTCTTCATAAGAGAATCTAGTAGACATCCCTAGTACTTGATCGACAAAGAACTCATCAAATTCTTCGGATTCTTGTTTCTTTGTGAAAAGGAAAAAGCACAAGGCAACCATAAAAAATACGCCAAAGAAAGCTCCAAGACTGGATCCCAGTATGATTTTGACACGCGTTGATTTCTTTTGAGGAGAATCTGTTGATTTGTGCACTTTAAGAAATACAGTAATGTTATCAACTGCTCCATCATTATTTATAAGCGAAAATACTTCAGACAGTAATAAACAACCTTTCTTTGAATCATATCCCACATGATACGCAAAGAAAGCAGCTTTGCACGAACAATTTTTCAAGCAACTCATCTTGCAACCCTCTAACTCTGTTTTTTCATCCAAGTAGTAAATGTTTTCATATGAGAATTTGTATTTTGAGTTGAAGTTGAAGTAACTAGTATTCTTAAGCTCCAAAAGGGGGTGATATTGAGAATGGTCACAAGAAATGGGTGTAACAGGGGAACATCCAAGGTTGGTGTTAGAATATAATATGTAAAGTGTATGCTTTCCCCTTTCGGTGGCCCTTTCCCCTTTCGGTGATCACTTTCCCTTTAGGCCATGATGTTGTTTTGTATAGTGTGTATACCACTTAGGCCATTTTCTCCTATATAAAGGAGACCGTGTATAACATTCAACATATCAATAACATCAATCATAATACATACAATTTCTCTCTATATCAATTTATCTTACATGGTATCAGAGCTATAGGTTAAGCTCTTGGTGCTCTTCGCCTTCTGGCGGGCGGCAACTTTGCCTTGACCGCCCGCCGGACCTCAACCAATTTGAGACCTCCATCAACTCGCAAGATCTCTCTCTTACTTTCGCGTACCATCTCCGAGGAGGAACGGTAGTCAAACAAGAGGGTTTTGGAGAAGATGATGACCACAAAAGCAATACTCTGCTTTTTCGTGCTCTTCTTTTCTACCTCCCATGGCCAATCTATCATTCGTCAGCCAATACCTCTACAACAACCGTTCAACATCAACAAAACCCATGGCGGATCTATCATTCGTCTGCCTCTACCTTTATCTTCCATTAACATCAACAAAACCCAGAGCCCTTCGGACTGTTCTTACACGGTGACCATAACGACGAGCTGTTCTTCACCAAAGTACACTAGAGATCAGATCAGTCTCTCCTTTGGCGATTCTTATGGCTATCAGGTATATGCAGATGAAGATTTGGAGCTACACACCATACATTCACACACCGATACAAGCAGCACCACCAACTACTCCACTGCCGAGCCACCACCGCTGCAACTCCACAACCGGGCTGTCACCGCTGCAACTCCACAACCGAGCCATCATCACCGACAGCCTCACTCACCTTGAGCCCAGAAATACAATTCTGGCATCCCTCAATTTTGGTGCTTAGTTCCGTACACAGTGGACTATACCAAACAGCTCGGAATCTCCTTACAATTCCAACGGCACCAAGCCCATCACCAGAAAAGCCCTCATGCGCTCTCACGCGCCGATTCTTTGCTCGGCGCGTCTCTGCCTCCGTTGCCACTCTCACACGCGCTGCCACGCGCCTTCCACCCTGCCCTGTCGTGCGCCGCACCTGCTACCGTGCACCCGCGTGCACCGTTCGTCTACCGTGAGCCGCGCGTGCGCCGTTCCGCTATTGTGCACCCGCGTGCGCCATTCTGCTAACATACGCTGCCAGCCCCTCTGCTACCGTGCGCCGCCCGTCCTCCCTGCTAACATGCGCCGCTGACATCATTTTTCATCCTGCTGACATCATCCCTACACAGCCCACCTTTCCTAGCTATTTTCGACCTTCCGGATTCACTGGTACACTCTGTTTTACCTAATTTTGCTCCTACAGGTCTCTCCCTATCTATTTAGCCCTACTCCACTACTATTATGGATCGTCCTGATGCCTCCCATCCCATTTCCGTTATTTTGGATGGTTCCAACTATGTTCTATGGACCCAAGCCATGTCTTCCTTCCTCAAAGGAAAGAAGCTCTGGCGAATTATCACCGGGGACATGACCCAACCGGTCAAAGACACTGTTGAAACCACTGTCTCTCCTGCTACTCCTACATATGAAGATCGCCTTGAGGAATGTGACAGTAAGAATTACCAAATCATTACCTGGTTTCGCAATACTTCTGTTACCTCTATCAGTCTTCAGTTTGGTCGCTTTCAGCTTGACTCTGTAACTACTCCTGCAAAAGACATCTGGGATTTTTTGAAAAAACGATACCAAACTACTGGTCTTGCTCATCATTTGTAAACTGTCCCGACATTGATTCCGGTCAGCTTCTACAACGGTCCGACATGACCCCGTAAACTGTCCCGACATTGATTCCGGTCAGCTTCTACAACGGTCCGACATGACCCCGTAAACTGTCTCGCTACAACGGTCCGACACGACCATACCGTGTCTTCAACAACGATTTGACACCACCATACAGTGTCTCCTATCTCATTTTATTTTATTTTATTTTTCTACTCTCTCCAAACTCAAGTTGGTTGGTTCCTATCCTCCTTGAGTTTGAGGGGGGCTGTTAGAATATAATATGTAAAGTGTATGCTTTCCCCTTTCGGTGGCCCTTTCCCCTTTCGGTGATCACTTTCCCTTTAGGCCATGATGTTGTTTTGTATAGTGTGTATACCACTTAGGCCATTTTCTCCTATATAAAGGAGACCGTGTATAACATTCAACATATCAATAACATCAATCATAATACATACAATTTCTCTCTATATCAATTTATCTTACAGTTGGGTTGCTTATAATTTATTTGCCTGAAAGTGCTGCTTCCAAGTGGCTTCCTCATGACAACCGCACTGCCCCTTTGAAGAACAGATACCGTAATTGCCACACGACATGGGATACCCACACTCACCCTCACGAATTTGTGTCAGCAGATCCGCCACCACAGTCCAATTCGAGTCTCCTAACTGATACACCTTCAAATGCCCATCAGGTTCCAACCGCATGAACTGAGGTGATGATGTTGATGCAGCAGGGATTAGCTGCCCGTTGAAGTTTCCATTTTCGAATTTGACATAATTTATAAAAAATAAATATGATTCAAAATAGGGCAAGGGTGGATTGGATTCCACATAAGCCAATAGACTGTAATCCTGAACTGTAAGAGAATACAAACCGCGGCTCCAGTTGGATGCGGATGTGCTGGAGTTGAGCTTCTGCCCAGGAACCAACGTCTGCCCAATAAGTAAGGAGTCAGTTGGGTGATCAAATGACTGCCAAACCGTTGCATCGTGTCGATCGAAGAGGACCAGGTTTCCCGATTCGGTTAATTTCAAGCCGAAGACGGACTTTCTTGAGGTATTGGTAGACCATACAAAAGTGCCATCGGAGTCTTCCAAGATCAAATCTCCATATTCAGTGAATTGTAAGGTGGCGTTAATTCGAACAGGACGGTCCCGGTTAGCAGACCAAACAAGTTGCGGTGCATTTGCCGTATAATAGGTGTTGTTGCTATCATCATATAAAACGCTGTCGAAGATTAAAACACCAAAGAGGCACAAAGCATGAATTTCTTGAGTAGGGCAATAGAAGCCACAGAAGAAGTGTGGGGCTGAGTAATCGTATAATCTCCCGAGGACAGGTGTCAGTTTTAAGCTGTCAAATTGGGTGTACATAGTGTAAATTGAGGTGTGTTGATTCAAAAAGACGGAGAAGATAGAGATAAAGGTTGAGCATTGTCAAAGGGTGAAGAGGCTATGAAAAAGGTGATAATAGCAGCAGCAGCAGCAACATAATAATAAATAGAGCAAGAACAACAGCACAGACCCATTGGTGGTGGTCTATGTCTATCCATTTAGAGCTCAAAGGGAACAAGAAGAAGAAGAAGAATGAAGGTGAGGTGTGAAGTGAAAGCCAGAGATTTCGTGCCAACGAAAAAGTGCATTTGAAATCACCCTTAAAACCACTCCTATGTTTGGTTAGCAGGATTCATAGCGAAGAGATTAGGATTCATAGCGAAGAGATTAAGGGTACGTTTGATTTAGTTTTAGGATAATGATTTGACTGTGGAATTTTGTTTTGAATTTTGAGTTTTTGTTGAAAAGATAAATTTTTTTTGTTTATGAGTTTTGGAAATAGTTTTGGGATGATCTGTAATTTTTTATTTTTTATTTTTATATTGACTGATATATAGAATGTGAGGTGAGAGGAGAGAGGAGAGAAAAAAAGTGAATAATTGATTGATTAATAATAAAAAATAAAAATAAAATGAGAGCGGAGTTTTGAAAGTAATTTTGAATTATATTTAAAAAATTTGTTTGATTAACATGTTTCATTTAAATCATGATTTAAAAACAAAATCATGATTTGAAAATTATTACAAACGTTACCTAATAATCTTATGAATTAATATAGGTTAGTTATTCAATTAAAAACTGAAATCCTTTTGGTTTTTGTATTTTAGGTGTAATATTATTACAAAAATATGTAATATTGTTATAAAATGTGTAATTTCATTTTTGGTAATATTCATTTAAAAAATGTATAACATAGCTAAAAATTACATAATAGAATATAGAATTTCCTGTACTTTGTAATCTCATGGAATAGATTCAAAAAATTAAGTAATTTTTTAGAATTTCATGAAAATGACCCTCCTAAATTATATAGTTGAAAAGAATGCCAGCTTTATGGGAACTCCGAAATAAGACACCTCTTTTTTTTGTAGTTTATCTTGTGTAGAAGAATCTAAAACCTAAATAAAAAAGCCAAAATAAGCACAAAAAAATCTACTATTTTTTGCTATTATCATTATCATTGTTCTTTTATTCTTCATTTTTTGAAATTTTTCTATGACAATTCTCTAAATTTCTATGTGATCATAACATAGAAATTTCTCATTCACTCTAAATTTTCTCTGTGAAATTTCTCTGAATTTCTCTTCACAGAAAAATTTGTTTGAATTTTGTTTGTGAACCGAAAGTTCTTTGTGCTCAAAATTTTTTTGTACTAAAATTTCTCTGTGAAAATGTTGAGGGACTCCAACTATAATGAAAATATTGTATGCCTTTGATCTTATAAAATCTTAATATGAGGGACTTTAAACTAAAACCTCAAAATTAATAAATTGAGTTGTTATGTGTATTTTTTATTTTATTTTTTTAAATATAAAAATTAAAAAAAAAATTGTAAACTCAAATAACAAATTGTAGATTTGTTTTTAATTTTTTTTTTTAAATATCTTTGTTTTCTTCGCGTGAATATGGTTGTATTTTTTTTCTTTTATTTATTTATTGAATTTGTTTGTGTATATTTTTTGCAAACAATATCATGTATTATGAGTAAAACAAAAATGAGAGATGTTAAAAAATAAAAATACAGAAACATGAAATAGATAACTATAGATAAAATTTGTGTGTGAAATTTGTTTCAAACCTGTAAAATAATAATATAATTTTCATAGTTACAGGTTTGATTTCTATAAATGTCTTCCTTTACAAAACATATATTATTAATCACTTATCTTCTAATGTATAAAGAATTAAAATCTAAAAATATTTAAATATAATATAATATTTTAGACAATTCAATTTATATCAATGTAAAAAATTTTAAAATCGAAATAGACCACACATTTTGAAAAATAGGACTGCAAATCAAAATTTTAATTAATCTTAAATGGTTGATTTAGTTACTTTTAAGGTGAAGCACCAATAAATCTCAAAATGTAATCTTGTGAACTATTTAGTTTTTCATTTTTTCTTATGAACTCAAAGGACCCATTAAAATGGAAATTACACAAAAGCGTAGTCATTCACATGTTTGGATTTAATTTTGTAAGGATAAAAGTGGGTTTCTCTAAATGTAAAATTATACATTTGGGCAATCCGCACTATAGAGGTTTTGGATCTTCCCTCCTCGTGGAACAAATCCCACATTACGAACAAAAATGTAACACTTCAATGTAACATACTAAAAAATGTCTTGGTGTACTTTTCCTAAATGTGACAACATAACACTCCAAAAAAACTCTTTATTATATTTTTTCCAAACGTAATACTCACTGTTTGAAAATGAATTTTTGTACTATTTTTGGAATGATTTGAAGAATTTTACATCTTTTTTTTTTTTTTGAAGTATTATATTAGAATATTACGTTTGGGAACACTAGAATTTTTGTGTGTGTTACATTTGAAGTGTTATATTGAAATGTTAGCTTTGATAAAGGTATACTAAGGATTTTTTTTTGAAGTGTTATATTGGAGTGTTATATTTGAATATTACATTGGAGTATTACAGTTTGAAATTATACATTTGCACAAAGCTTACTAAGGAGTTTTTGTACTCATTTTGAAATGTTTGAATAATCAGACGTCCTTTTGGAATGTTTGAAAGATCCTATATTTTAAGTCATTTTTATACTCATTTTGAAATGTTTTCCAAATAAAAAAGATTCCCATATAAAAATTAATCTCAAATTTAATTCTCATAAATTGTGTATCATACCTTTCTCATACAAAAGAAAAAAGAAAAGGAAATATAATAAAAATAAAGGTATAACTGTAAATCTAATTTTTAAATAATATATTAAGGCCTCGTTTGGCAAGAGGTTATTTTAGTCAATTAGCCAAAAAGTTATTAAATTAGCCAAAAAGCTAACAACCCATACCAAAAAGTCAAAGATTCTCTTTTCTCTCTACTTTTTGCACATCTTTTCGTAATTAACCAAAAAGTCATCCCAAACATACAAGTTTTTTTTACCTACCTTTTTAGCCAAATAGCTAAAAAGTTACTAAATTAGCCTGTTCCCAATGGGACTAATTTATTTATAAAAAAATCCTTAGAACTAAATAAATTATCATTTCTCAAAATGAAATTTATAAATAAATTTTCTTACTTTTAATGAGTCTAGACTACTCTTAAAACAAAATAACATGTTACACTCAGATTTACCCACCACATTTTAAAGAGTCTGAACTTGTTCACCCTATGAATGGGTCAACAATGCACGCTTTTTGGTATAAAATAGTAAAGATTTGTCATTTTACTCGTTGTGTGTTTGGGCGAAAAATATTTTTTAATATTTGATAAAATAAAATAAAAAAAGTCAATGAACAATATTTTTCGTAGTCAACAAAAAACAAGTCTGTATAGATAGAAAATATTTCTACTTTTAAAAGGTAGAAAATGTTCTTCAAACTAAAGTCTTACTAATGTCATTACATTCTACTGCCACTCTCATTTCCACCATCACACCACACAACCATCACAATAGCCACTTCACCACCGCCACCACCCTGCCACCATGTCACCATCTCCACCTTCATTTTCGTTTCACCACCATCACTAAATGTAAAAAAATATATTTTTTTTTCATTTCACTATCATTTAAAAATGTTTTTCACTCAAATACATGAAGTGTAAGATAAAACCAATACATTGCTTTAAATATGAAGTTTAAATTTTTATACTAATTATATTTTGTGTATTATTCCACCAATAAAACGAGTGTCTGAACAAAGTTATAAAAGTCATGTGGCATTAATTATTTTTTCCAACTCTAGAATTTCTGTGGTCTACTGCACTTGCACAGAAATAACATTTAAACTTTTTTATCATTATTTTCTTTTGAGTTTGACCCACCACATGATAAAAATCATTCCACACTAGTTAAAATTATCCTATTTTTGTAAATACTAATTTGAGAAATTTTATGATATTATCACTAGTGGCCCAAGATTATTAGATATCTTAACCTGAATATTAAAATAAGATTTTATCTAAATAAATCTTTAAAAAGTTAGAGTCCTCAACGCTAAATTTTTTAAAAATTTTCTTATGGACCTTAGTTAACAGTTTAATTGATCTAATGGTCAAGTCATCTTTGCACCTTTCAAGCAATGCATGGCGTAAGATTTCACTCATTGTTAACATTTTACTAAGTTAAAAATTGAATTTTAACTTAAATATGATAAGTTACCATCCAATTAAAAATTGTACCTTTTTTTTAAATGATAATTTTTTTTTTCTTTTTTAACCAAACCCCCACAAAAAATCAGAGTAAGTCATAAGTCGACCATGCAAGATGCACGCCGCAAATTAATCTTTTTAAATTTTTATTAATTCTTCTTTATATGTTGACCCACAGATTAACAAGTCATGGTAGCAAAACTTTTTCCAACTGTGCGCTTTCTATGATAATGCCTATTTTCTACTTGACTAACAAGTCGTGGTAGCAAAAAAAAATTAATTGAAAAAAAAAATTTATTAGTCAAATTTTTAAATTTCTGTTTAAAAACTAACGTAAACTTATTTTTTGAGTTTACGCTTTTTTTCTTAAATTTATAAACTGAGACAACTATTTATAAACAAATAAAAAAAATATTAAACAAGTTTTTATGATAATTTTTTAAATTTTTATAAATATAAATTGAAAACTGAAAACGAAATGGTTACCAAATAGATCCTGAAAGTTTGTGATTTCTCAACACAATGTTTCACCAATCTCGCCAAGTTCAGATGGTGAGTGCTTCCTATTATCTTGACTTGTTTAGCTAAGAAAAAGACTTCTTGACATGGCCTAAGCCATCAAGATGCTTCACTGCAAAGACCAATATCCATATCATCCTTGCCAAAGTTTCCTTTTGAAATTATATTAGTCAGTGACTTTGAGCTCAATTCTATAAGAGAATCTCATG